ACTTTCGTTCCATTTGGTCTGTCAATCACAAACACTTCATTCCAAACTTGTATGCCTGTTGTTTCCCTTTCACAACCACCTCGCCAGGTAAAGCCAGTCAACGGTTCATTGTTTCCACCAATCCAACTTTGAGAATCCTGTTAAAGTCAAGGATAAGTGTAAAATTAAACACAAATAATTAAACTAACTTAAGAAATCACCTATTTCTTATTTTCCATATGAGAAACCTAAATCCAGACAGATAAAATATACAGTATAACATACACTTGTATGCAAAAGTTGTCCCAAATCCATATGGGTTTTTTTGGGGGGGGGATTCTTTATCTTAGAGAGAAGTGGTTTCCTCTGAACCTAAGCATTCTCAAATCAAATCACACTTCTACTCTTTAGGTTTCTAGATAAGTGAGGTCACACTCACTTATCCCCTCTTTAGCAAGATTTCCTAAAATGTTAAAAAAAAATCATAAAAAAATAGGTACCAGCTATTTTAACATCTTCTTATACAGATAAGCAAAACTAAGTTCCAGACACAATGACTGTCAGAACATCAACACTCTCTTGGAATAGCTTATACTGAAATGTTTTTACATGCCTAATTTTCTTTAAAAAATAATCAACTTTAAAAATAGGCAGGGCGGCTCACCCACAGCTTAGTAGTTAGGGCGCCGGCCACATACACTGGGGTTGGCGGGTTCAAACCCAGCCTAGACCTGCTAAACAACAATGACAACTACAACAAAAAAGTAGCTGGATATTGTAGCGGGTGCCTATAGTCCCAGCGACTTGGGAGGCTGAGGCAAGAGAATTACTTAAGCCCAAGAGTCTGAGGCTGCTATGAGCTCTGATGCCACAACACTCTACCAAAGGTGACAAAGTGAGACTCTGTCTCCAAAATATATATATATAGGCAGGGCACGGTGGCTCACACCTGTAATCCTAGAACTCTGGAAGGCCAAGGTGTACGGACTACTTGAGCTCATGAGTTTGAGGCCAGCCTAAGAGCGAGACCCCATCTCTAAAAAAATAGTCAGGCATTGTGGTGGGTGCCTATAGTCCCAGCCACTTGGGAGGCTGAGGCAAGAGGATCACTTGAGCCCAAGAGTTTTACATTGTTACGAGCTCTGATGCCACGGCACTGTACTAAGCGTAACAAAGCGAGACTCCGTCTCAAGAAAAAAATAAAAATAACTCCAAGATTTATTTATAACCTAATTTAAACAACCCAATTATTTCTTTAAAAGCCTCTTTAAAGCCAACAGGGAAATCTGAACTTAGTGTGGTATCTCATTAGATGGTGTTAACCTGGGGTAAAGAAGAATGTTTGATGTAGTAACAATATTGTGGTTGTATTGAGCAAAAAATTACTAAAGTACTAAAGTATTTGTGGTGAGAGCAGATGCCTGGCATTTACTTTAAAATATTCTAGTAAAGGCTCGGCGCCTTTAGCTCAACCGGCTAGGGCGCCAGCCACGTACACCTAAGGTGGCGGGTTCGAATCCCCAGCCCGGACCCGCCAAACAACAATGACGGCTGCAACCAAAAAATAGCCGGGCGTTGTGGCGGGCGCCTGTGGTCCCAGCTACTTGGGAGGCGGAGGCAGGAGACTCGCTTGAGCCCAGGAGTTGGAGGTTGCTGTGAGCTGTAATGCCACGGCACTCTGCCCAGGGGGACAGCTTGAGGCTCTGTCTCAAAAAAAAAAAAAAAAAAAAAAAAAATTCTAGTAAAAAATAAAGAGAGAGAGAAAAACAGATAAAACAAGACCAGAAAATGTTTTTAGGTACATTGGGGTTCATTATATTATTCTCTTTATTTTAGGCTATGTTTAAATTGCTCATGTTTTAACTAGAAATACAGGACTGAATCATAACTAAATATTATGAAATAATAAAAGCTAAAATATTCTATTAGGTAAATTAGAACATTAAATCTGAGACATAACCAATGAGTACCTTTGACTAGATGTTAAGATCACTATACTTTAGCATATGTAGAGCTCACATATCCTTTACTTAATGTACCCCATATAAGAAGTCTTTGGTTTCAGAAATACTTCTAATTAGCTTGGCTATCTAGTCCAAAAGATATTCAAAGAGGAATCAAAGTTGAAGGAAGTGGTTTATGAAAAGCAGATGTGGCAAGAAAGCACCGTGTTGTCCAGACCAGGACCTTACACAGCCCCAAACTTCAAATCACCTATAATTATCTTTATTCCATAAAACCGATCCCCAGTAGGCTGCTAATCCTATCAATTACAAAACTTTTTCTTCAATTTTTAGTACATTCAAATTAAGGAATTCTCTCTGCTGGCTACAGGCTGCTCCTGACACAACTCCGTTCACAGGATATACAAAGGACTTGTGTTAGCACCCTTCCCAGGGATTAGAAGGTTAATGATAATCTTTTAGATAAGAATGTCTAGCAGTCCTGCCCTGGACTACATTTTAGATTCTCCAAATCAATTTTCTTGTACCTCCTTGCTCTATCCTTAACCCACCCTTCCCACAGTCCCAAGAAATGTAATCATGCCACTATCCTCCCACCACTATAGAACCACCCAGAGATTCGTCCATCTTTAATTTACTTTTCCTGTATCTGTTCTTGATATTCCCCATAGATCCCAACATACATCTTCCTATTTCTACTACTGCAAAAAAGTCACCATTCCCCAAATACATGTGTTGCTAAGTTGATCTATGCCTTTGGTCCACCTGTTCTCTGTCCAGACTCAGGCAGCAGTAAAGAAATCAACTTTTCTGAAGTCTTAAAGCATACTATTGATACTGCATGTGGTTATCTTTACATGGTTTGCATTGCAGTTCTTATGTGAGTCTCTTAAGAGCAAGGGCTGTAAGTTCAATCATCCTTGCTTACCAAACTGCTACTATCAAAGTACCTCACACTGTTATAGGTTCTCATACATAGCATCTCATTCCCTCAAAATGTTTTTAAAAAATCTAGTGTTTAATGAATTGATTATTCTTTAAAGGTCCAACCTACACAAATAAGAGAATCTATTCTATTAGAGAATTCTTCTTCTATTATACATTTTACTTATCTTATTTCTCTATCTCCTCTAAAAGAATGCAAGTTCCATAAAAGCAGCAGTTTTGTTTCATTCTCGTAAGTATTCCCAAACACAGTATTCCCTACCAACTTGTGGTAGGCACTCTAAGTATTTTTTAAATAAATGAATAAAAAAATTATTTATAAGCTTTAAATGTGCTCCCTTTTGAGCATGAGTAACAAATAAATAACTACAATCTATTTTATACAATCTATTTTATTTTTCCTAGAAACAATAATTACATGAGGAAGACAGTAAAAATACATTTTTTTAAGCCTAGATGACAGAAATCATAAACTAACATGTTTGCTAACCCCCTCTTCAAAAGACACTTTATAAAGAATTGGTGCTTCTTAAAAAAAATCGACTTATTAACTATGCATCATCTCTTCTTAGTTCATCCTGTAATGGAAATGGTTAAGAAATACTAAATTCACTAGTAAATAAAAGAGCAGGAAGAGGTAAATTAGAGAACATAGCTAATCAGATTTTTCAAAACTTGAAGTCTATAACTTCTCTAACATACAAACTGAACACTGAGAGCTTCATAAAATGAAGTATTCGTTCATTCGATAAAGATTTACTTAACATTCTACCATGTGCCAACCACTGTTCCAGGTTTACAGCAATGAACAACAGACAGTTCTGCTCCAAGGGCATTCTAGTAGGTATCAGAGGCAGCCTAGCTGTTAACAGACCCTATTTGCTGTCATAAGTTACTAAAAGCAAACTGAAGAATTCAAAAACTCTAATCTGGTACCATTTATTACTAAAGAAACAAGCCTCAAAAATCCAAAAGTAATCTTATTCCTCCAGGATGATAAAGTAAATAGAAAAGAGAACTCATAAATCTGTTGCAAAAGGCACTCTGAAATCACCTGAACTTTAAATGAAATCAAATAGAGAATAAATACAGACCTATGTAATATAATTATTAGCAATAAAGAAACCCTACTATTCTAAATAGTAAGAAACTAATTCCTATTTCAAAGGTTGTGCATGGTGGCTCAAGGGTGTAATCGTAGCACTCTGGGAGACAGAGTTGGAAGAACTGCTTGAGGCCAGGAGTTTGAGATCAGCCTGGGCAACATAACAAGATGCTATCTCTTTAAAAAAAAACAAAAAAAAAACATTTTTTTTTAAATTAACTGAAAGTGATGGTGCATGCCTGTAGTCCCAGAGACTTGGTAGGCTGAGGCAGGAGGATCTTTGAGCCCAGGAGTTCAGGATTATAGTGAGTTATGATGGGAACCACTGTACTACAGCCTTAGCAACAGAGAAAGATCTTCTCTTTGAAAAAAAAACAAATTCAAGTTTCACCTAAGGAAACAACAAAGTGGAACAACAGCTAATTAAATTTTAGATAAAAAGCTGGAGGTCCAGCTAAGCCTACATGTATCAGAGTACACTAGCTCCCTGTGTGTAGGCAAGCTGACTCCTTTAACAATGACTATGCTAGAAGAGTAAGGTCCATTCAGAAGCCATAACTCATCACAGCTAGCAATAAAGAGACAAAGGATGAAACTAAGATCCAAGGCGAGAAACTCCCTAGGTACCAGGCGTTCCCCAAAGAAACCACCACAAATAAGTATCTTCATCTGTATAAAACAGTACCTTTTCAGAGACAAGTCATGAATAATCAACACCCAAACTGGTGGACAGAATAAGCAGTACACATTAGTATTTTTATTTGAATATGTGAGAACACTCTTCAAGTCCTGGAACAAATTATGAAACATTTAACTCTAAAATAATTTAAAATTGTCTGATATTTTACCTACCCCAACCCTACTCCATGTCCAGTTCTTTATCTTCTGATGCTAGACAAATCAGTAACACTGACATCTCAGAAAAAGGCCAATTCTAACAACTTGGGTACATGCTGAAGAAGAATTTATTTTTTTAGAAAGGGCTCTGCTCAAAAACATATCTGACTTTGAAGACACTATGCTAAGTGAAATAAACCAAACACAAGAAAACAAATACATGATTTCACTCATGTGAGATGCTCAGTCAAACTCAGAGACAGAAAGTAGAATGATGGTAACCAGGGACTGGGGTGAAAGGAAAATT